TGCAAAAATGTGGTAAGAGACAAGGGAAGGCAAGTAGGGCAGGGAGCATTCATGAGAAGCATGAATTTACTGCACTAGAAAAGGGGAAGTCAATAGAGATTAAAGATGCCGTAGATAACATGGCTAGATTTACAGGCAAAGAAAATATTAGCAGATATGTTTAATATGGACTGGGTGATATGCACCAATAACCCAAGATAGCTTTACAGAATACATGTACCATTTCCATCATCAGTAAAATAGCTGTATGATTTAAGTAGAGAATTATGATTGTGTATAATAATATAGAAGATTACATTGCATTTCTGTTTTTAGCCAAAAATCAGAGACTCGGTATTATTCTGCCTTTAGGAGATCTGTACTGTTAGACCTAGATAATGCTGTGATGTTTATTCCTTTGATCCTATTTCCATTGCAGTCAATGGCAAAATCCTCACTGGCTTATAGGGAAACAGGATTGGACCCAGGGACAGCATTCTGCTAGTCTGTCAGAAATGCCTCCATGAAATATGTTGCTTTCAAGGGGAGTGCATAACACATAGTTTGACTAGTAATGTTAAGTGTCTATCATTAAGGGTAACTTGCCAATTCTATAATTAAATCATGATAGTGTATAATACAAAAGGTTACACGACATGAGCAGAGACAGCTGTCAAATCCTGTGCCTTTTATTAATACATTTGGCATGCACAACATGTGCATCTCGAACCACTAACTGGCTCTAAGACCATAAATTACACTTACCAGTTCTTATGACATTGGATACCTTTAAAAAAATGAAAGCCATGTATTTATTTGAAAACATTTTTAAAATGTAACTAAAGCTAGAAACATATCATGTGCAATTATCCAACTGGCTTGAATGTAAAGAATACTCCTTAAGTATTTTAAAGAGGAAGCGCAGTCTGGGGGGTTTAGAGCCACAAACTGAATTCTAATCCCAACACTGCCGTTGATTCACCACATGGCGTGGGGCAAGTGACCTAACCTTTCAGCTTCTCCATCTGTTCAATGGAAATAATGATTTCTCATAAGGCAGTTCTGAGAATTATTTAATGAGTTAATGTTTGCACAGCATATTGAAGATGCACAGTGCTAAGTATTTATATTCCACATTGCTTTACATCATGGAGTAACTATGTCAAAATAACATTATTTCTGAAGTTGAGAGTAGCAAATACTAGAGGTCCAGCATGTCAGTGAGTAGTAATAAATAAGATGTTTATGGCAGCATAGTGAAATTCACCTATTGATAGAGGACTCTGTAATGAGTCCTGTGCTTTGCCTCTCCTGTGAGAGAAAAGATGAGCAAACATGATGCACAAGGTAGCTCTTCACCAATTGAAAACTGAAGAGGTGGGCTCTGTGCTGGTTCCACATATGCTGGTGTGGAGGAAAACTATGTGACAGTTTGCTGGAGAAACAGCCACTTGGCCTGTTCTTAAACAGATCAAATAGCCTGGCTGCCCTACATAAGAGACTGGGAGGGGCAGTAACAACTAACCCATCCCACAGGCTATCCCAAAGCCAGGCCTGATATTGGAAGGGTAATTAATATGAATTTAGGACACCTGCATAAAACTACATTACCATTTATTTAAGAATGTGGCCCTCAATGTATAGACTCATATGTTCTTATATAATTTTCACCCAAATTTTTGATTGGTCTGGCCTAAAAGTCTTGTAAATTTACTCCATCATTTACAAACAGTGGCAGGCTATCCCCACATAGGAATTTGTGCAAGGAAATCTTCTGTTATTTTATAGGCTGGTGATACTAAAGCTTTCAGAGGGAATAAGCACTTAGGTCTCAGTTCTGATCTGTCAAAGCTCTTAATCAAGTGCTTAATTTTAAGCAAATGAAAAGCCCCTTTGAAGTCAAAGGCAAAACTACTTTTGTGT